GAGCCATGAGACCGAGGTTGAGGCCGCTGAACATGCCCGAGAGGCAGAGGAGGAGGGAGATGAAGATGACTTGCAGCCAGAAGGGCAGCAGGAACTTCTTCTCCTCACCCACAATCATCTTGGTGTCCTCACCATCATGGTAGATCCAGGTGGTCTCGCCCCATGGGGGGGGCCCGGCCGGCCCCTCAGCACCCGCCAGCCCTCCGGGGGACCCGGGCCCCAGTGCGGCGGCGGCGGGGGCCGAGACGGAGGTGCACAGGTAGTAGGACTTGCTCTTCTCCGTCTTGCGCAGGGGCTTGATCTCGATCTCGATGATGCCCGAGGTGCGGCGGTTCAGCACGATGTGCGGCAGGATGATGATGTCCGAGGTGCGGATGCCGCAGCGCTGCGGGGCGCCGCCGCCGCCGCCCCCCACCCCGCCGCCACTCCCTCCGCCGCCGCGCCCCGCCGGCCCCGCCACCGCCCGCCCGCCCCGCCGCCGCTCGTGCTCCGTGAAGGCGATGCGCGACCAGGTCTCGTTGTTGATGTTCTGCCCGTAGACCCGCAGCTTCACCCGCGTCCGCTCGCTCACCCGCAGCGCGCCCCCCTCCATGAAGGAGACGTCGTCCGTGTCCTCCAGCCGCAGGCCGATGATGACCGTCTCCTCCGCCGCCGAGGGCGGGACGACGGCAGCAGGCGGCGCGGCGGCGGCAGCAGCCGGGGGCCGCCGGTCCAGGCAGCCGCCGAGCAGCAGCAGCAGCAGCAGCAGCGGCGGCGGCGGCACCCGCGCCCCCCGGCCGCCCCCCGCCATGTTCCCACCGGGCAGCGCGGCCATCTTTGGTCAGGGCTCGGCGCCACCGCGGCCCCGCATCGCCGCGCGGCGCCTGCGGCGTGCCCCGGCTTCCCCGGCGGCGGCGGTGGCGGCGGGCGAGGCGCGGCGGCGGGCGAGGCTGCGGGCACTGCTGCCCGCGGGACCTGACAGGCGGCGACTGCCGGGCCGGGCCGAGCCGAGCGCCGCCTCAAACCGCTGCGCTCCCCGCCCCTCCCCGCCCGCCTCAGCGGGGGCGGGCCCGCGGCCGCTCTCCGCCAATCAACGCCCGCCCCCCACGCCGATGGCGGCCAGGCCCCGCCCCGCCGCTCTCCACCGCCTGTCCAGCCCGCAGGGCGCGTGACTCCGGTGTGTACGCCAGCCGCGAGGGGGCGGGGCCGGCCGAGCGGCCACCGCCAATGGCGACGGAGCTCTGGGGCCGGCGAGGCGGAGCCTCGAAGGGGCGCGACCAATGAGGGAGCGATGCGGCCGGCGGGCCCGGGACGGCGCGTGCGGCGCTCTGCGGGGCTGCTCGCGAGCTCCCGCGCCGCGGGACGGGGAGCTCGGGACCGCACGGAGGAGGCGAGACGGAACGGGACGGAACCGCTTCTCCTGCCGCCCCTGCCCGGCCCCGCTCCGGCTGCCGCTGCCCCGGACCAGCCGCACCGCTCGCTGCCAGCCGCGGCCCCTTTGCACCGCCCCGCGTCCCCTGCTACGCCGGTCGGTGGTCGTACAGCGCCCTCTGGCGGCCCCGCGCGGCGGGAGCATCCCGTTGCCCTGCTGCCTCCTGCGGGCCGGAGATGCTCCTCGGGACTGCCCCGTGCTCGGGGACGTGTCCTCGGCACTGGGTGTGCTACCGACCGGGACAGCGGCTCTCCCGGCACCGGCCGTTACCCGGTCCCGCTCTGCCCCCAGCCGCGGTCGGTGTGGTAACGTGCAGCGATTCAGCCGTCGCTCGCCGTTCCCGGGCACCCTCCGCCCGGTGCCGCGGTATTTCCTCCGCTGTGTCGTTCCTGCGAGCGAAATTAAGCATTAACTGTTAAACTCGGCAGGGTGGCACTCCCCGCTCCCATCCCCGCCTTCTGCTCAGCCGCCCGCGGCACCTCCACCCTCCCCGAATTCAACACACCCTTGCCCAGACCGGGCATGATTGAGGCCGGGGCTTTGGAGCTCCCACTGGGGCCGTTCAACACTTCCCAGGGAGCTGCACCCTGTTTCACTTGGCCTTACCACTGCATGCACAGAGCTGATTTGGGAAAAGATCTGTAATTTAGCGTGTGCTTACATCCCACCATCCCGAGAGCCAGGCTGCTTCCGAAGCCTTAGCTGCCATGTCCCAAACCCCACAGGGGCAATAAACACCCAAGGACCAGCCTCATCACTCCTCTTTCCACTAGTGATGAGCAACACACATAGAGCACAGGATGCAGTTTAGCAGTTTAGGTGAGCAGCTGTGGGAGCACCCGGTATGGTTTGTGGTGTTTGAGACTGTATTTTGGGTTTAGGGAGATCCCTTAAGGGAAGTAAACCACCACCCCCACCCCCCCATTTGAGCTCTTGGAAAATGGAAAAGTAGAGGATTTCACAGGCCAACCCAACACAGGGAGCAGAGCATAGTGCTCATGGGGCCTTAGCCACAGATCTTCCATGGTGCCAGACCTCATTCAGCTCATCCCAAGGGAGTCCTGCAGATCTGCTCCCTCGGGGAGGTGATGGATGCTGCTGAGACACAGCAAATCCCTGCTAACCACAGTGAGCAGGGACTCCCGAGCCACTTCCCTTTCACCTCGGAGTGAATCAGAGCACCACCACTTAGGGCTCCTGTCCTCACTGCACCCTCCCTGCCTGCAGAACACAGTAGAGCTCCACACTGGGAGAAGGGCAGTTGGCTCAGCTCTGCAACCACCAAAACACCAAGAGCGGGGTGTTGGACAGATTATTTTGGGGTTCTCCACAGATGGGGCTGCAGGACCTCCTCACACCTTGGGGGTGGGGGGGCAAAACCCTAAAGCTTTGCATGCACAAGCAAAGCCAGGCAGACAAGACACCCCCACATCCACAGCCTGGTGAGGACCCCTACTGAAAGCTCAAAGTCAAGTCCTTTCAGCTGCTTCCTCCCAGAAATGCCAAGGATTTGGGAAAAAACAACCCAGCACTATGTAAATAGGGTGGCATTTAGCTGTGCCCTTTTTCTGTATGCATGGAAGAGGGGGACCTTGCTGTGGGGGCCTCTGTCCCCAGGGAAGCTGAAAGACCACAGCAGGGACTCATGCCTTTTTAATGACAGGGTTTGCAGTTAGGGCCCCGTGCCCCATCTGCTCTTCCGTTCACACTGGGGAGGCTCTCTGATAGCAGGAACTAATTGCTGCCAACCTCCCAGGATGGGCTCTGCGGGAACTTTGGGAAAGTCTTTGTAAGCAATTGTGGAAGAGGGCTATGCAGGGGGGGATTAAACAGCATCTTGGCAGTGTTTTCAGCAGGTCATTCCCAAGGTCACATCAGTACATGCAGTTCCAGAGCTCTTCTACCTGCCAGGTCACAGCCACCACTGGAGGCTGGTCTGCCAGGGTGCCCTACCTGAAGCCAGCTAATTCATGCCCTCTTGACTGCAGATAGCACCAAGGATTATCTTCTTTATTCATAGTATAGCTCTAAACACAACTCATGAATTTTTGTGCACCCAGCAGGTCATAGTTTTGTCCACAGCCAAAAGGACAGGCTGGCAAGGCAGCTTTCCAAGAAGCTGTACTTATGGGCATTATTAATATGTTTAATCTCTAAATTGTAAGTTAATTGCTCCCTCACCTTGCTGATGGCAGAGGGCAGGTGAGGTGGTCTGGGCTGTCATACCTGGTTTTGGATTTCCCATCACTGTGCTACCCTGTGGGTTTTACTCACTTTTCAAGCCAGATGCTCTGGAAATCCTCCTGGCCGCAGAGACCCTGTTCAGCCACCGCTACTGCTGCTGCAGAGCATCACTGGGACTTGCCCATGCTTATTTTTAAACCCAGATATTTTTTGTTTGCTTTTTATCCTCCCCCATGTCACAGCAAGATGCTGCTTAAATGCAGAGAGGGGAAATTCGGTCCCTCGTGGAAAACCAGTGCATGAGGAGGGGTGGAAGCAGTTCCACATTTCTAAGCTCAGCTGCTTACCCAAGGGCTGTTGCTCAGCAGCTCCTCACCTTCCCCAAACAGCCTGTGGGCCAGGGCATGTGGGATTCATCTCCCACCACCAAAGCCCTCACTCCTTGCCCGATGCAGGACGCAGTCAACCAGGTTTCTGCTTTTCCAGAATCCCTGTGTTTCCCTGCAAAACTCTGCAGGTGTGATGGCTGCAGAGGGCTTGGGCCTTTTCCGCTAGATGGAGTCCAGGGGGGAACAGAAATCTCAGCAGTGCTGCACAGGGAAAGGTAGAAAAATTCCCTTCTCCTGGAATGGGCTATGGGGCTGCAAGACAAGGCATGAGGAGCTGTGCTTGGGGCATCCCCTATCCTGCATGCAAGTAACAGGGACATCCCTTTGCACCCTGTGTGCTGCAGTGAGCTCTTCATGGAGAAGCAGGGCTGGCCGAGCCCCCAGGAGGTGACCAACCTTTCTCACCCACTGCCCTGGGGGGGATGCTCATTTGTACCCATGTTACTGAGCTGCTCACCCCACTGCCAGGAGCTGGCACAGTCTCTGCCTGACAGACAGATGCCTGCAGATCCCTCTGTGTGATGGGTTAGCACAGGGAGTTCAAAAGAAGGAAAAAAGCAACTGGGCTGTTTCTTGCTGTGCCTTTTGCTTCTCAGAAGTGTTTGTGTCCCAGCTGCAGGCTCTCCAATACCTCAAAATGGAGCCTTGCTCATGCAGGGGGGGCATGCTGCAGGGCCAGGCCCTGCCTGGCTCCAGGGCCTCCTTTGGCACCCTGTTCTGCCCAGCTGCCTTCTGTAAACATCTCTGCTCTTCTCCATGGGCTCAACATCAGTACACAGCTGCTGCCAAACCCACACCAGCCCTGCCATCCTACATGCAGGGACCAACGATCCCATTCGTACAGAGACATCCCTGCCTGCATGTCCAAGCCATGCAGCCACTGCCAGGCCCATAGCAAGGGGACGTATAGGATGGCTTCCCATCCTCACCACAAACAGGCACAACCTGCCCCACAAGCCCCAGCAGGGAAGCACAGCACCCCTCAGGCCCTATGGTCCCAGCCACAAGCACACAGCTTTCAAGCTTGGCCATTTATTTGTTCTCCGGTGGAAGCCTCACACCTTTGGGGCCGCATCCTCCTGCCCTATTGGCACCCTCTGGTGCAGGGGCATCACTCAGCACTCAGCAGGAAGGACCACAGGAGCCACCAGGACAGCAGGCAGGACGTGGGGTCAACAGCTGCTCCAGCAGCTGAAAGGGATCACAGATCTTCTCCTAGAGGGCACAGAACACCCAGGGCTGGATCAGGCCAGAGGGAAGCAAAAGGCACCCAGGAAAGCTGCATTCCCCCCAGCTCGCTCCCTGCCAGCAGCGCAGCCCAAGCAGACCCTCTATAGCTAACACAGGGGCAGTCCCCGGGTCACTCAGCTCCTCTTCCCTGCCACGAGGAGGAAGCCAAGAGCTTCTCTGGGACTTCGGCTCTGCTTTCATCTGAGAAGCACCTCCTGCTTGGACAGGGACCCGAGAACATCTCCCCCTCCCCAAGTACAAGGTTGTGTTTCAGGGACATGCAGCTGCAGGGTGTTATCTCCCTTGCCTCTCCTGGCCCATCTACGGGCTGGAGGGACCATCAAAGAGAGAAGAGAGGCTTCCAGCTGATAGAGATGCTTTGTGCTGCGGACTCAGGGCTGGCAGCCAGGGCCAAGCTCACATCAGCAGCTGTGAGGGCAATGGGCAAGAACAAGCCGCAGGGATTGGCCATCACCTCCCTGGGGCAGGCTGTCTCCAGCCATCCCCCATGGAGAAAGATGTCTCCCCTTGGGATATCTCAGGCAGCTCCAGCTGGCAGTCCTGGCAGCCCCCACAGACATGCTGGGGGGCACGGGGCTCTCATGTCAGCTGGTTAAAGCAGATCCCCCCTTTGGAGGGCTCCAACCTGTGCTGGGTACAGTTGCTCAAATTCAGGCATCCCATGGGCTTCTGATGGCACAGACTGCCTCATGTCTCTTGGTGTCATGCCATAACCCCTCTGATACCCCAGGGCAACTCTGATGGCACAGACATCCATGTCCTCATCCCTGAACCCAGCTGTGGAGCTGCCTGCTACTGACCTTGACCCCCTTGCAACTGCAGCCCTGTGGTGCAGCACCAGGTTGGATCCGGAACTTCTCCGCAAACCTGGAGCTCCTCAAGATCGCAGCCACCTCAGCATCCACGTCCACCACCTCTCCTTCCTAGGGGCAGAGGGATAGTCACAGGGCTGGGGTCTGGGTTACGTGGCGCAGGGGACCCCAGTCACCCAGATGACAGTGTGCAGCAAAAGCAGGAGCACAGCCTGACCCCAAAATCTTGAGAAACATCCATACCACCAAGCAGCTGGCTTCAAACCCTCCTGTGAAGCCACCATGGATGTCCTGCTCCTACCTTCACCACAACGCAATGCATGGATCTGCCTCTCTGGTTGAACCTTCCATGGTTTATATAGCCCCTCTGTTCCCACCTACTACTCCCTCTACTCCCAAAATCACAGAGGACACTGCTGAGTAGCACTGCTTTACCCCACCCCACGGACCAGGACTGCATGCCATCCTGGGAGCCCAAGCATGCCCCTACACTCACCTTGAAGGTGAAGTTGGCATCAAACACCAGCTCTCGCTCGTGCCCCACGATCCCACCATTGTAAGTGACCTGGCCCGGCCCAGCCCGGCTGCTAACCGGCACCTTGAATAGGCGGAAAGTTGCGGAGACGAAGCGGCAGTCACCTGCAAAGGAGAGGTTGGTGGGTTGGGAACCGGCCCCGGGTGCCAGCACAGCCCCCCATGGCTGCCCAGAGCTGATGCTCTCTGCTCAGGCCCTCACCAACAATGCTCTCCAACTCCTTGTCACCAATGGTAATGGGGCTGGCAGTGACAAGGCATGGGGGGCTGAACCCCACCTCCTCGGCAATGCTGTACAGGTCTTTCCAGTACAGGGCTCCCGCCAGGCACTCTCCTAGCATGAGACCACAGACAAATGTGATGGAAGCAAAGGTGCAGTCTTCCCATCCCAGGCACCCACATCCCAGAGTCCTACGCACCCCACAGCACCCTGTGCTTCCGGACGGTCTCACTCAGGCACTGGCTGGCATAGACATCACTGAAGTACATCTCTCCTCCAGGCTGGAAGGCAGCAAGGAGTGAAGGGAGATCCCAAGAAGCAACAGGACAAAGGGGGAAGGGAGAACCGGGCATCCCTCAATGCTACCTTACTCAGATACCTATGCAGAGGTGCCCTCCCCTGCCCCATCTCCACCATGCTGGATCCCATTTGCTGCATCCCAGTGGCACCCCAACAGGAGGGACACCCCAACCCTGCTTTGCTCCCACCACGGGCACCGGCCCCATCATTACCTTCAGCACGCGGTAGGCCTCCTGCAGCACAGCCCTCTTGTCAGGGGAGAGGTTGATCACGCAGTTGGAGCTGGGGAGGAAACCAGAATTCATTTGCACCCTCTCACACGCTAAGCACCACCAGCTGCTGCACGTCCACTGCCTGCTGCATGTCCCGTGGCTTCATGCAGGATTTGGAGATGCCGATTCGACAACGAAATGGGCAGTTTGTATATTCCCAGGCTCTCCCCCAGGCACAGTTGGGCTTTTCCCTTTCCTAACACGTGCTCCTGAAGCAGGTGACCCAGTGTGAGGCAGTCCTGGACCCCAGCCCACAGCCCCAGGCAGCAGCAGCACCAGGGGTGGCAGTTTCCTGCATGCCTGTGTGGTACCTACATGACAATATCATAGCTGTTGTCAGCCAGCCCGGCATCACCCAGCTTCTCCATGTAGCCCTGGAGGAACTCCACATTTGGCTTCTGATAGCCAAACTTCTCCATGTGGTAGGCAATGTGCTTCTTCGCCACCTCAACCTGGGAGAAGGAAGGGGATGATGAGGGGGAATGCTGGGGTGGCTGAGGGGAAGCCCTAGCTCCATGACGTACCTGGCCCTCAGTCATGTCTATGCCGGTGACATGGCCCTGCTCCCCAACCAGCTGACTCAGCAGGTAGCAGTCTCTGCCGCTGCCGCTGCCCAGGTCCAGGATCCGACAGGATGCCAGGCACTCGGGGACCACCAGACCACAGCCGTAGTACCTGAGGGGATGCTGAGCTGAGCCGGGCAGAGGTGCTCCCCCACGCATGGTGGTTGAGGGGCTGCAGCCCACAGGGACACAGCAGCAGAGGGGAAAGTCCTGGATTTACTTGGCTGCCACCTCCTCGTGGACACGCTCCAAAGCATCTCTTACCGCCTTGGGAACGGGCTTGCTCTGGGTGATGCATGCGTTGGTTTTCAGGTCCTCTGTCTTCTGCAGCTCTTTGCCATAGTAATCCTGAGATGGGAGGGACAGAGGCCACCAAACTACAGCAAGCTGTGCCCTGGAAGCTCCCCATGCACCAAAACACAAGGGCCATGCCTGCACTCGGCCTGTACATGCACCCAATGTCCTCTGACACCGGCACTCTCATCTGTACTCAGCTAAAAATTAGGTTAACGTCAAGCACCCCTTTGCTCCCATCCCGCCCATCTCCCTTGCTCGCATGCACAGCATGTTTGTGCAGTGGGGGATTTAATTTCCATTTGCAATAACTCTGCAGGCTGCAGCCCCCACTTCCCCAGCCAAGAGAGGCACAGTGAATGAGGGCAGGAAAACACAGGGTTACTCAGCACCTTATTCCTATAGAAATTAGAGCAAAGGAGCCGGCCACACCTAATACTGTTATTTGGAGCCCAAAACCACCTTTGCCCTTGGACTGCAGCAGGCATGACAGCACAGCCTGGGCTTAGCTGCCCTTGCCCAGTCAACCTTTCCCCCCTCCCCACCCTCTGTGTTCCCCCAGCCCGGCCACCCCATCCCCTCTCCACCTCCCACCTGTACCCCTCACCTGCACCTCCCGGTGGATCTGCTCTCCACAGGTTGCTGCCACTGCAACAGGAACATGGGGCTGGTGCCTGACGCCACTGCGATGGGCACCACGCCAGGCCCTCCCAGAGGCCCCAAACCTCCCTCTTCCCCCACATACAGGAGCACTCTTTGCCCCCTGAAAGCAGCACCCAAGGAGACCCCCCCAAACTTTCAGCCTAGTGGGATGCTCCTGTGCCTCCTGACAACATCCCCCTGTCTCCCCCAACCCTAATCCCAGCTGCCCTGGAGAGACGAGCCCCTAAAAACCTCGCCAAACACCACCCCGCCTTGCTTTGCCGAGAGCCCTCAGCCGCAGGGGTGCCCAGGGATGCCCCAGCACTCCCGGCCGAGCCCCGGCCCGCCTTACTGCCTGCGGTTCCTGCGCTTGGCCAAGCTCCGCTCAGCCCGGGCCACGCTCCGCCCCGACCCTGCACCGCCCCGGCTCCGGGGCCCGGCTTCCGCCCGACACCGCTCCCGTACGGCCAGAGCCTGGGGCAGGGCCCCGCGGGGGAAACGGAGCCCGCTGCCATCACACATGGGCCATGCCTGCACCCGCACCCACAAAGCCCCTTCCTGCTGCCTCCCCCTATCTCTGCATGCACGTGGGTGCAGCTCTGCCCGTGCTCACCCCAAATGCAGGGAGACACGAGTTTAATGCTGCAGGGCTGCTCTGGCCTCTCCAAAGGATGGAACCTTGGAGGTGAGCCCCCTGCAGCAAGGACACACTGCAAAGAACCCCCAGAGCTGAAGCACAATAGGGGACATCTGAGGGCAGAGACCCAGTCTCCCCTCTGCACAGAGACTAGCTGCAATGGCATCCAGCAGACTGGTGAGGCTTGGTGGTGTTCAGGGAGCTTTTATTCTCAGCGAGTCACAGCTCAGGGAAAACCCTCATTCCCAAAGTGCATCTGTAAAGCCGGGGATCAGGACCCCTCCCAAGGTACAAACACAAACACACACACACACGCACACATGCTACACAGACCCTGGGTAACAGTAGTACCTTCCTGCGAACGCAGGAGCAGTAGTGCCACCAGGTCAAGCCAGTGCCACTGGAGGGGATGGTGAAATCCAGCCCAGGAGGTGGCTCTCAGGAGCCAAAGCCCAGCGCCACTCCAACAGGAATGTGTCAGGCTGATGCCTGCTCTCAGCCTGCCGCCTTCTATCAGCTAATGAAAAGCACACTCAGGCGAACAAGTGCTTCCCGTGCGCTCCAAGTGCTCCAGATAAGTGACCTACCAAAACCAACACACAGTATTTATAGCCTGGGCCTGATGTTGCTACCCAGGATGTGAACAGGAGCCTGGTTGCTACTCTTCCAGCACAGAGCAGTGCAGAACTGAGCACACCACACCCTCATGCTATCCTGCCCGCTTCCCGGCCAGGCCTTTGGATACCTTCCCAAGCAGATACATACACCACAGCCAAGGCTGTTTCATCAAAAGCTGGAGCCGCAGCCCAGGAAGAGGAATGCAGTTGAAGGCTGAAAGCAGTGCAGATGGGCTGGCAAGAGGATGATGTTCTGAACTGTGGCAGGGCGGAAAGTAAGATAACCTCTGAGCAGGATGCTGGCCAAACCATGTCCAGCTGACCAGTGACAGAGGTGTGTGCCCACATTCCCACTTTCAGAATTGCTGGCCTGGGACTGGCACCTCAGTCAACACTGAAGCACCTCTCCCACCCACTTACAGCTCCCACTGATTAACATGCCCTAAATAAAAAGCACTCTGTGCCACCTCTGTGTCTAAATCCAGATCAGTGTCAAACTGCTGGCACCTGTATTTAAAACCCACACTCAGTTTCATGCATTTCTTGCCAGGGGTGCTGGTGTGGGCTGAGCACCTCATGCTACATGGGATGTAAGCAGACCCAAGAATTGCTGGGGGTGTGGGCAAAGTTTCAGGTGAGTTTGTTTCAGTTTGCTCTGGTTAGCAGGTGAGTGCTCTGGAGCAGAGACGTGGATGGAGACACACAAGAGGGGCCCATGTGCCCAGAAAGAAAGATTCTGCACATCTCCCAGCTGACATCCAGCATCATCCAAACACAGGCCTGAACCCCCAGGTCTGGAGGGGAAAGGACGCTTCACTGTCCTTAGTGCCAGTTGAGATGTCCTCATGCCTTCTCTACGCTTCATTTCAGCAAGTGGCTCAGCTGGTCCTGCAGGTTTGATGACTGCTCGACGCTGGAGATGAAGCAAGAAGAGGTTCCATGAAATCTGCTCCCCAGGCTGTGCTGACCAGAAAGGCTGTAGCACTGATGCTACAACAAAGAGAACCCTGGGGCTCCCCAGCCCACCTCCATATCCCCACAAGGCAAACCTCATTTTGTGCACTCATAAGCAGAAAGCTCTGCTCTACACCACCCTCCTCTCCTATCATAACCAACCTAGCAAGCTCTACCACGTCAATAAAACAAGTGGAAGTTCTGGTATAAATCATCGCTTCACTCAAATTCCCATCTCTTCACAATCCCAAAACACTATCCCACTGGGCCGGCATCTGCTTCAAAGGCAGCTGCACAAACCTTTTTGCTGTCTCCCACCATCCCTACTCCATCCTTTTTCCCTTTCCATCAACCATTCCTGGGGGACAGATGTCCCCCAGGTCCTGCTACTGTTTCTTCAGCTGAGGACTCACTTCTTCTGAATTGCTTCTTGCCTAGATGAGAAAAGGAGACAAAAACAGCATTAGAAAAACAAAATCTTAGCAACAGGGTTCACGTTATGTTGAAGAAAAGGGACTCCATTATGGGCTCAGGAGGCCAAAACCCCAGTGTGTTTCTAAGTCCTAGAGGACAGAAACAGCACTAGCTTTTCCCCTTTAGTCTGAAATGTGTCACATGCCCTCATAGGAGAAACTCTGCATGGCAAACAGCAGGCAAAAATCCCGGCTGTCCCACCCTAAAACAGTCTGAGCTGTACCAGTGGAGCTGGAGAGGCCTGGAAGATCCCAGCTTCAGAGTCTGCTCAGCTTTGAGGAGCGAGCCAAGAGGGGTTGGTCTGAGTGGGCTTTGTGAAAAGTCTTTAAGTAGACAGGAAAGGAATCAAGGGAATCACTTAGCTCCCCAGAGAGAACGTGGTGTCGACACCTCTACTTACTGGTACTGTAGATGAGTCGTTATTATGGCCATTTTCCTTAAACTCTGTGGAGAACAAGACAAAGAATGAATGTTGGATAGGAGCAGTTCAGCAGAATCACAGGGCAGGTTGTCCCTACACCCTGGGGAGCTCCTCCAGCATGGCCACCACTGTAGCACTGCACCAACTCTGAAACATCTCCACCAGTATCTGTCAGCAGTGGCACGCTCCCCTCTTCTTTCCCAGTGAGACAGGCACTGACAGTAAGTGCTCTGTTTTAAGCTATGGTCCCTCGAGCTTTCCGGTAGAGATGGCACAGCTTAAGGGCTGACCTGGGCTGCAGGATGCTGAAAGACCAGCAGCACATGTGGGTTTGAAGAAGCACTAAGTTATTCTGGCCACCAGCCCTGCTGCCTGAACTCATGAGATGTAGTAAACGCCCCATTCCTGGAAACATTCAAAGCCAGGCTGGACAGGGCCCTGAGCAACCCAATCTAGTGAACATGTCCCTGCCCATGGCAAGGGTGTTGGGCTAGATGACCTTTAAAACTTCCTTCCAACCCAAACTATTCTATGATTCTATGACTTCAGGGTAGGAAAATACCACGTTATCGAAGATAATGTGTTTGCATATCTGTTCTTATAATCCTCCTCTCCTCCTGTCCACTAGAAACACTTGTTCTAGCAGTAAAACACAGCTTACATCTTCCGAGTGCAGGATGGCATCTTCTTGCATCACCATGTTTTTAGCAGCTTGACCCAGGAGCTAGGAGACAAACACACCAGACTGAGAGGCAGCACCTCTGTGTCCCAAGACCTGTGTGCACGGCTGACACGGTACGAGGCTCGGGGGTGCGGTGCCCACCCTTCGGAGCATACGGCCTTGAGGAGAGCACCTCCAGCCCATCACTGCCGACATGTCATGGGGCAAATGCAGCCTCCCGCCTCTCACCACCCCCCAGCGCACCCAAGGGGCACCCAAGAGCCCCACGGCCATACCCGCTGGCGGGAGGCCCCCTCCAGAACTACAGCTCCCAGCGTGCCCCGCGCGGGCTAGCCGGGCCTCATTCCTTGGCCGCGCCGCATGCCGCGCTCTGTAGTCCTAAGTCCGGTGGCGCCCGCCGCTCACCTCGGCGCTGCGGGAGCCCTTCAGCACCTGCTTGGTGAGGGCGATCACGTCGGTGCCGCAGCTGGTCACCTTCTCGGTCAGCAGCCCCTTCACCGAGTGACCGAAGCGCGCCTGAGCGTCTGCCGCGCCCGCCGCCGCCATCTTACCCTGCCCGCGCACCGCCCCGCTCCGCCGGGCGCCGCTACGGCGAGTGCCGGGGGACTAAAGAGTCGGGAAGGCGCAGGGCCCGCGCAGGTGGGGCGGAGGGACAGCCTCGGCCCGGGGCCGGGCCCTCGGGTGCCTCCACGGCCCTCCTCAGGACACCTCAGACCCGGACATCACCTCGGGCACGGACATCCCGAGGCTGCTCAACACTGACCAGTGCTGATCAGGGCTTCTTAGCAGTGACCAGGTCTTGCCTGGTACTGTCCATTGCTGACCAGTACTGACCAGGGCTTCTCAGCACTGACCAGTATTGATCAGGACTTCTTAGCACTGACCAGGGCTTGCCTAGTACTGCCCATTGCTGCCCAGTACTGACTAGAGCTGCCCAGGGTTTCTCAGCACTGACCAGTGCTTGCCCAGTACTGAACAGGGCTGACCAGCACTGCCCATTGCTGCCCAGCACTGACCAGGACTTTGCAGCACTGCACAGGGCTGACCCATTGCTGCCCAGCACTCACCAGAGCTGACCCGGTCTTCTCAGCACTGACCAGTGCTTGACCAGCACTGCCCCAGGGCTCCTCAGGACTTCCCAGTGCTTGGCCAGTACCGGCCAGAGCTGTCTGGGGCATCTCAGCACTGCCCATTGCTGCCCAGGGCTGCCCAGCACTCCCCAGTGCCCCCAGCCCTGTGCTGCCCATCCCCTCCCAGGCACGCTGAAAGGTGCCCAGGCTGGGACAGACCCCAGTGTCCCACCGGTCCCCAGCTGTGCTCATGGCACCCGGGGCTGCCCCTGCACCCCTCATCCACCGCGATGGAGCCTGAGCACAGACCCATCCCTGCCTGTACCCTGGCCCGCAGCCCGCTGGATGCAGCTCCCCCACGGCCACCCGGTGCGACCATGGCCCCGCAGCCCTCGCCCCCGTCAGGTGCCCAGCTGCAGAGCTGGCTCCAGGCCCAGCGCCCGTTCCCCCCTTCCCGTCCCCCTGATAAGGAGCCGAGCCCGCCTTGGGGTCAAGGCGACGACCCCGCCGCCTGTATAAAGGCCCCCCGCGCCGCTGCGGCTCCACAGCCGGCCCCACACCATGCCGCTGCTGGGCGCCCTGCTGCTGGCCCTGGCTCTGGCCCTGCTCTGCTCCTGGGGGCTGGCACGCCGGAGGGACACGGCGGGGCAGGGGCGGCCGCGGAGCCTGCCCGCCCTGCCGCTGGTGGGCAGCCTGCTGCAGCTGGCCGGGCACCCCCAGCTCCACCTGCGGCTCTGGCGCCTGCAGGGCCGCTACGGCAGCCTCTATGCTCTCTGGATGGGCTCGCACTACGTGGTGGTGGTGAACAGCTACCGGCACGCCAGGGAGGTGCTGCTGAAGAAAGGGAAGGCTTTCGCTGGACGGCCCCGCACCGTGAGTCGGCAGCGGGGTTTGGGGGAGCCCCTCCTCCTGCGGCGTGGGGTGAGGCGGGGGATGCTCCCAAGAGAGGGGCTGGCACCCGGCAGGGTCCTTCTCCTTTTCCCATTCTGCCTGCAGCAATGGCAGCTGCAGGGGCAACCCCCTCTCTGCCCTGTTCCCCGGGGCGAATCCTGTGCATCCTCCATCCCAAGGGGGCCCGTTTTTCCCCAGGGCTGGCTGCGTTTTGAGGCATGGGTTCAGGTACCACCGGGCCCCCTGCACCCTCCAAGTTTCCTGGGCACCCCTGTCCCTAGCCCTGGCATCTGTCCCCAGACCTCTCCATCAGTCTTTGGGGTGGGAAAGCAAAGCTCATGGCCCTGGCTTTGCCCACCAGCATTAACCACCATCCCCCTGGACCATCCCTGGGATGAGATGACCATCCAGCCCCCGCAGCATCACCCCTCTCGGGGCTGCCCTGCAGCAGGGTGACCCTGGGACTGTGTCCCCCACAGGTGACCACGGACCTGCTGTCCCGGGGGGGAAAGGACATCGCCTTTGCCAGCTACGGGCCCCTCTGGAAGTTCCAGCGCAAGCTGGTGCACGCTGCGCTCTCCATGTTCGGGGAGGGCTCA